AAAGTTGTTTATTATTTTAAGTAATTTATACTTTACGATTTAAAATCAAATATTTCACCTGAATTATGTAATAAATTGAACAAGATGATTCGTCTAACAACCTTTTGGAATCAGACAGTTGTCTGAAGATATTTTATTAGTTGGAAACAAAATATAATGCACAGACTATAAATAAACTTTAAATCATAAAAATAATAAGGATTTTATGCTAATTTTATAAAAATCTATTGGTTGCTTTTTTTATTTTATTAAAATTCTGTTTAATTATTCATTGAAGCTAGACCACCATCGAAAACCTGGAAGCACTGGACGGCCGTTTCGTTCTATTGTGGGACTCCTCAGCAGTGCTCATCCACGATCCTGCACTGCTGAGGAGTCCCACAATAGAACGAAACGGCCGTCCAGTTCTTCCGTGGTGGTCTAGCTTCAATCGATTCATGATTTCAATTATAAAATTACTAAAATCTCCACAAAACCCCTTCTGATAATTGTTCATTCATTATTTTTTTTTATGTTGAATGACAAGTGCCACTCTTAATTTGATATTTTGTAAAGTATTCAAAATCTTATTCTATTCACTTATATTTTTTTATTATCAGATTTTTTTTAATCGTACACTTTTGTTATTACTGACTGTTGTTAATTGCTTTCATAAATAAATGTAACTACATTCTATGTGCTCACTGAGTTGTCAGCTCATCTGTTCTCTTTGCCTTTCCTTTTACAGATTCTATTATACACTGCTCCTTACGCTTTCCCAGAGCAAAACGCACCTTCAGGATAGACGTAAACCTACTAAAGGTTAAACATTACAGCTTCTCTAATTATTTGGTTAATTATCTGAGAACATAAAATCTTAGATAAAGTATTTATATTTGAAACACTAATTATTCATAATTTTAAAGAGTACAAATTTATTAACTCACTAGACCCAAAAACAACAAAATTTTATGTTAATCAAAGATAGTTTTCTGATATAATTCTCATTGACTATTTATTAAATAAGTCACATTCACTTGTAATTTGAGATGTATTTTGTCCTCAAATCACTTTTAATTGACTTCTTCACTAATTAATCAATTAAAAAAGCCTGAATTGCTTGTTTTCTTTAATTTATTAAGTACATGTTCGATATCATATTTCAAATTTAACCGTATAAAGTGAAATAAACAAAAGAACATCGAAAAACCTTGACCGAAAATAGTTGAAATATTAATTCATTATTTAAAAATACCATTTCAAGATGAACCTAATGTTGTTTGATTAAAATATACGATCAATGAACGATGAACTAACGTTTGATTGATTGATTTATTTTATTTAAACACACACAATATTGGTACAAAGGGGCACCAGATACAAATGCGCCGCACAAATCTCATTTGATTTGTGTGAGGGCTGTGATACTGTCCAGGTGCCCAAACTGAAGCAGAAGGTTTTCTTAGGAGGCCACACCCAGAGCCTTTGACCTAAAGGTCTGATGCACAAGGTAGTGGAGCATCATGAGGAGATGCAGTCCCATGGTAGCCGGTGACCAACGATTGATTCATACGCCATTTTATCCGTCAGGATACTGGAGCCCATGTGTATCATTGGTTTGGAATCAGGGTTTTCCAACTACCCTGGGCAGATACTCCATGTCCACCAACCTGGTTATAGCGCCGGACATTCGCTTTTAGTCCTCTCAATTTAGTAAACAACACCCTCGCCACAAGAATGTTGTAAGTAGGACTTCCCTGGCAGAGGCTATATACGCGTGGCCATGTAAGAGCATTTCGAGAGTGTTGGGGATGTCAAATCCCCAGAACTTACTTGGTAAATGGCTTAATCTTGTAATTTTATTTTGAAAATTTCAATTTAGCTGTTTTCGCGCCAAAAGCGCTCTTTTTACCTTCACGTCATTTTCCCACTTGTAAACTATCTTAAACGCTATTGGTCCGTTGTTTCTTTGTGTGTGCTATTTACTAATAATGCTCAAGGACATTTTGTTGTTGTATAAATGCGCTTGACTTTTCCCCTTATTGGATTGCTTGTACTCGGCTGCTTACGGAATACATATATATTCCCCTACTTGCCTTGGACTTCTTCATCTAGTTAGCGGGGCCTGGGACAAGCGATTAGAATAGCTTATCGTGTCATTGGCTTTCGTTCGTTACCGCGGAATCGATTTAGTTTCAGGCATAACAGAGAGGGAGAGCGGACTCTCACCACTCTCGGCCGTACCAGGGTATTTGGGGGCTGAACTGCTTGGTATCTATCACTAAAGACTAAAGTAAAGGATATGTTACTAATGCTCAATAATTTATTAAACTCCACGTTATTGATAAAATAACTATTCAAAACATTCATATCTGAGAATTAATTGACAAATTTGTGAATATAAAATTCACTGTCAAAATACCATATTACTAAATGTTAGTAAAAAAGAAAAAAATCTCTGTCAAAATTAATGGACATTGTAAATTATAAATTAGAGTAACTTTATTTGAATCTATCAAAAATCCTTTTTTTTCAAAAATTTACCATAGGAGCTAGTGTAATAATGATTGACATTAAATATTCCCTACAAGTGGAATAAAATTATCCAACATTTTCACACAAATATTAGACTTCTATAAATAACAATTTATGGGATTTATGTCTAAATAATTTACACCAGATATATCAACTTATGTCACCATATTAAATTGCCCAGTTAATATAAACTTTTATTGTGTACAATTCCAGAGTACAGTTACTTTTATCCAAGTATATGATTTTGTCATTCAGCGTACAAATACCAGCCCAAATATCACACTAATGATAAAGCTGATCTTAAAAATTAAGTGTAAGAAACATGAGTTCTAGCCAGGATTACAGATACATCTTAATAAGTCTCAACAAGGATTGAACCAAGTATACGGTTTCTAGCTGTTTGTCATCACGCTCTTCATGTCTTACACATCAAAAGTTGGTATTTGACGGAATATTCATCATTTTAGGTGAATTTAAAATGTAAAGAATAAACACTTAAATCAGTATCATTATATTTATCGACTGCTCCAATTAAGCTGATGAATATTTGTTTATCTAAGTTAAGTTATTGTTCCATTTAGGAAACCAGAAATACACCCTAATTGTTGTATTGCTGTACAATCTACAGAAAATATTTTCGCTTTATTCTATGTGCAGTTTGTGACATGCAAGTAAGGATACTTTTTAGAAACTAAGTTACACCACCGATTGGTAAGGATTATATCAAAATCCTTTCAGAGGTAAAAACGAAATATTATTAACTAAAAAAATACGAATGGGAAATTCAATATGTTTAAAGCATTAGTTAAAGCTGCATTAATGAATATGAAACCATGATATGAAGGTCATTCTAACTCAAAACAGTGAGATCGAAACAAACTCAACGAAGAAAAACACGTCAAGATACCCTTAAATAAATATCTATGATTCAATCTACATGGTTATTATCCCAGTTATTAGCAATGTCAATGGCTTTACACTTATCGTAGTAATTATCCAACCGTTCTCGTTGTTATACTTGGACGGTACGATTATCTTCTAAAATTCTTTATAAGGTAACTGTTTCGATTTTTTTATATGCAATGTAGTTAATCTGTCACTTCATATACATTGAAGTAGATTTCTGCTTTCAAACACAGCTTTTCCAGCACCGTGAATCTAATATGTGTAATAATGAAAGATCAATTTTAGCATGTTTACACATCAAAAATTTCCATATCAGTTAAAACAGAAATATTCAATCGTATGAACGTTTATTATAATTCTTTCAAATTTATTGCCATTTTCGTGCTAAACTTTTTTGATAATAATGAAGTCAATAAAGTAGGTGCATCAGCCTCGAATAATACTATTTTTCCCAGCTTGTAAAAAACTGAAGAGGATACACAAAATATATGAATTTGCAGTATTATGTTACGATTTTGTAACCCTACCACTCAAACTCAGTCAGTCAGTCAGCTACAACGTAAGACCAGACACATATATGCATCGGTCCAAGTTGCCATACCTCGTTAGCACAACAAGAACAACACCGGATTCATAGTAGTTAATTTAGTGGTGGTGGTAGTATATAAATTATAGGTTGTATATAAGGATATAGCATAGGAAGGAAGAAAGCTATGAAGCAATTTTAATATTATAGTTTAAAGGAAGACAGGGAGTGTATACACCTACGCCGTTTTGATCGATTCTGAGCCATGTCACCTAGAGTCTCCAATCATTGGTTACGATAGTCACGTGGACCACAACCAAGTAGTCTGCATCTGCTAACATGGCTCAGACTAGAAGTTAGTGACTTCAAGCTCTGATGCCACGTTTTGGTTTGGCCGCCCCTAACTCTCTTCCAACCATCCCCAACACTAGTCAGCATAGCGCGTCGTGGTAGTCGGTGTTCAGGCATACGTAACACGTGGCCCAACCATCTCAGTCGATGAAGATTCATCACCTCATCAATTGATTTACCATCATTCCCTAATACCCTGCGTCTAACCTCACTATCACTTACCCGATGATCCCAGCAGATGCGAGCAATATTCCTAAGGCATCTGTGGTCAAATACTAGTAACCTACGAGTATCTTCTACTCTTAATGGCCATGTTTCACAGCCGTAAAGTAGAACAGAGCGAACTGCTGCGCAGTATACTCGTCCCTTAATTGATAGACGGATATTTCGTCTTCGCCATAGGTGACGTAAATTGGCAAAAGCCAAACGAGCTTTTTGAATCCGTGCAGAGATTTCGTCAGACACTAACCCATTAGGTCACATTTTTCTAACAACTGTCAACCAACACAACCGTACTCTTCAGGGGATTGATGCGCTCCAACGGTTTCGATATAAAGACACCTGGTTCTGCAGTCAGAAGTGATACCAATCAGCTGATAATTTTGATTCTCAACATAAAAATAAAGCACATGACATGGAAGTTTCTTGTGTACCTGATCATAAATCCGTACAAAACTGAGAACTACTTGAAAAGTAGGTGATTGCAACAACAAGCAATCGGAATAGCTTTTATTTCTGATAAATTTTGGATAGAATTATACAAGACTGTCATATTCATATTGATTTATACAATAACACAAGGAGTATATTACATATATTTACTTGGTTTTATACACAAAAATGAGTGTTTCATCAAAAAAGTATGGTTTTAATACATACAAGGCAGGATTTCACCCAAAAAGATTTTCTTATCACTACCAACAGATAAAAGTACTGGTTCTGTTGGATGAAATGCAGTCTCGTTTACAGATGCTGTGTGACCAGGAAGTTTATACACTAACTGTCGTGTGTTTACATCCCAAACATGAACATAACGATCACCACTGCCACTAGTTATACGACGATTATCAATTGACCATGCACATCGAAGAAGATTCTTCTCGAATGTATGCTGATGACCCGTAAAAATCTGAAGGAAGCAACAAAAATATGCTCAGTTATATACACATGTACATACACGTATGTTTTCCTTAAATACATTTAGTCAATTTTTTACTTAATTTACAGACACTCGTGCAAATGAGAGTTAAATGGAACACATTACTATGCGACTTATTTCACGGCTGTGTAAATGATTATTAAATGATAATAACAATAAAACATAAGATCAAGTAGGGTCTGTTAACCTATACTGAAGGTTACACTCCTTGTATGAAGTTCAATTTTGTCAGTTGAGAGTCAAAAATAAAACGAGCTGAGTAAAGCTGGGACTTTTGACATCACAATTGATTATTTGATAACCAAACTATCGAACTGAAGCTCTAAAGATGAAGTATTTACGTACATAATGATCGTGCGAACAATAATGTAAAAATATGATAGCCGGAACAAACAGTACGCTAATGTCTAAAAACCATGTATGTAATGAGAACCAGATGAGAACTAGATGAAAACTATAAAAATTTCTGGTAAATATAAATTTAACTCTCCATGGTACTATTGACCACTAATGAGGTAAGACCTGTAGCTAACTGACCTGCACACTAGACTTTTATAGACGTGGTTTATAAGAAATAAACTCTGTTCCACCTGATTTGTTCCGATTACCTGGATAATAACTTTAGCCGTCAAACAGTAAATGTGAATTGAAACTACTAAGCTGCGTTTAATTAATAGGATTGTATTATTACATCATGTGTTGTATCGAGTGAGACTTTTAACCTTAAAAAATTGACATGACACGACGGTATTCCGCCACATATGACAAAATGGAGTAAAGTTGGAAATCATAAATACATAGTTAAAATAAAAATTCATCACCTGAGTGTTTTTTAAAGATACATGTGATTTAATATTCCTCTACTGGATACTCTAACTATTCATTACACTGATAATATACACGGTTAAATGCCACAAATATGAAGTCTAATTAGATATGAAAACCGCTCATCGTAGCCAGATAATCAGCTGAACATATTAAGCTACAACTAATTTTCAGTAAAATATCTTTCATCATATAATCATGGACGATTGATAGTATAACTGTCATTATCGCGATTTTAAAACTAACCTTTGTGCACCGATCTGCTGGAGCAAATGGACGAATATCCCACATACGTAATGTGTTGTCCATGGAGTTAGAAAGTAAAAACGACCCATCTGGACTTACTGACAAACCAGTAACTGTGTCCGTATGTCCATTAAGTAGCATGCTAGCTTCCAATTTTCGTAAATCCCAACCTTTCACAACATTGTCTATGCCCCCAGAAAATATCATTTCAGCAGTATCACTAAAAGTAACTGAAAGAACCTAATGAAATACGTAAAAAGATTTAAATGAGATTGATCAATGAAGTTTAGATCAATATATGTCAAACGTATTCAATTCAAATTATAGAAAAGAATGATATTCAGTTCATTTAAGCAATTACATGATCTAAGTAATTAAAGCAAGCTTCACATAGTATAGAAATTACGAGAAATATAATGTAAGTAGGATTTTTCATTTCCTTTTATGGATTGCCTATATTAAACTGGTCGACACCAGCAAGGATAACAACTATTTCGTAATAGTTCTCAATAGTCCAGTTGTTTTCTTTAAGACATAATTGTCGGATTAACAACCAGTGATGGAATCCAAGACTCAAAGTTCATTCTGTAAGCAGCTCTTCACATGAATACAAGTGAATCCTAATAAGTATTAATACTTTTTTGATAAGACAACACAAAACCATTCAGTGAGACAGACTAATCAACGACAATAATAAAAGTAGAAAGTATCCATTGTAAATGATAAGACAGATCAAATTGACTAAAACTACAAAAATAGTGATTTTTAGTTTTAGTGTATATAACTTCAAACTAGAATATTGTCGTATACAGTGATCTGAAAATTGAGTAGTTTTAAAATAATTTGTACATTGAATTCGTCACAAATCGATTTCAACTAAGATCCCACAGAAAACTATGAAGTACTGAACATTTGTTTTATCTTATTAAGCGACTCCTCGGCAATGCCCACCAACAATCCCACAAGTGGTCGAACCCATGACTTTTAAACCTTAAGTCAAACACGGTTAATCACCATTACAAACACTAGGTCGACGTCGTATTGTCCAAAATATAGAAATCTCAATCGTTTTAGTCTGCTGAAAATATAGCCATGCCGTTCATTTTGGTGATGCTATAAGAAATTACTCTGTATAAATAATTTATAAAAACTAATAGACTCTAGAGATATTATTACTCTATAGGTAAATTGAACTTCATTAAACAGAAACACTACCAAGTGAACTGTAGATAATAGCTGTTTTGTAAAACTGCAGCGCGAAAATAAAATACATATGTATTTCTAGTGCACAAAACATTAGAATACTATACTTGGTGATTGAAATAAGATTTAAGTGTCTGGTTGACAGTTTGGTCTATTAAATTAACTATCGAAGTATATCGATGGTTATTTAAGAATATCTTGCGTTTCCAAGTAATTAGCATTAAGAATGTCTTCTAAACTGTAAACAAAATTCCCAAATAAGCACTTTGTCCACTAAATTTCTTCAAGATAGTTTAACGAATAATCAAGCGTTATTTATATTTTAAATGAGATCAAGAACCGGTCAGTCAGTCAGCTACAACGTAAGACCAGACACATATATGCATCGGTCCAAGTTGCCATACCTCGTTAGCACAACAAGAACAACACCGGATTCATAGTAGTTAATTTAGTGGTGGTGGTAGTATATAAATTATAGGTTGTATATAAGGATATAGCATAGGAAGGAAGAAAGCTATGAAGCAATTTTAATATTATAGTTTAAAGGAAGACAGGGAGTGTATACACCTACGCCGTTTTGATCGATTCTGAGCCATGTCACCTAGAGTCTCCAATCATTGGTTACGATAGTCACGTGGACCACAACCAAGTAGTCTGCATCTGCTAACATGGCTCAGACTAGAAGTTAGTGACTTCAAGCTCTGATGCCACGTTTTGGTTTGGCCGCCCCTAACTCTCTTCCAACCATCCCCAACACTAGTCAGCATAGCGCGTCGTGGTAGTCGGTGTTCAGGCATACGTAACACGTGGCCCAACCATCTCAGTCGATGAAGATTCATCACCTCATCAATTGATTTACCATCATTCCCTAATACCCTGCGTCTAACCTCACTATCACTTACCCGATGATCCCAGCAGATGCGAGCAATATTCCTAAGGCATCTGTGGTCAAATACTAGTAACCTACGAGTATCTTCTACTCTTAATGGCCATGTTTCACAGCCGTAAAGTAGAACAGAGCGAACTGCTGCGCAGTATACTCGTCCCTTAATTGATAGACGGATATTTCGTCTTCGCCATAGGTGACGTAAATTGGCAAAAGCCAAACGAGCTTTTTGAATCCGTGCAGAGATTTCGTCAGACACCAACCCATTAGGACTGATCAGACTTCCAAGATAAGTGAAGTTGTCCACGCGTTCGACTACTTCACTCCCTATCCTTAGTTCGGGTGTTGACGCAGGCCAGTCCTGGAGTAACAATTTACATTTGGATGGGGAGAAACGCATCCCAAACATCCTGGCATTATTACTCAGTTCCAACAGAAGACTCTGGATTTTGTCAGCGTCTTCACCAAACAGGACTGTCATCTGCGTATTCTAAGTCGCTTAGTGGTCCCCCTGGTAGGAGATCAATTCCTGAAAATTCAGTCGCAGAGAGTGTTATTTCCAGCAACATGTCTATAATGAAGTTAAACAAAAATGGGGATAGTGAACAACCTTGACGGCACCACTTGAGGTTGTAAAATCATATGACAATTTGCCACAAGCTCTCACTCGACTGGTAGTGTTCGAGTAAAGAGCCTTCACAAGGTTTATGTACTTCTCAGGTACACCTTTCAATGACAGACACTGCCACAGAACCTCTCGGTCTACAGAGTCAAATGCTGCTTTCAAGTCAAGAAAAACTATCATTGTCGGACGCCGATAAGCATGTCTGTGCTCTAAAACTTGACGAATGGTGAATATGTGGTCGATACAGCCACGACCAGGTCTGAAGCCAGCCTGATTTTCTCGTGTTTGCAGTTCACGAGTCTTAGTTAGGCGCCCGATAATTATTGAGGCTAGTATTTTAGATGCTATGTTAGTCAGACTGATCCATCTATGGTTATCACAGGATGATTTTGACCCTTTTTAATATATTGGGACAATCAGTGATTGTGACCAGTCAGATGGGATTACGTCCGTCTCCCAGATTTTAGCCAGAATATTAGTCAACCTTACCGCTAAAATTGGACCACCATATTTAAAGACCTCTGGAGCCAATCCATCTGGACCAGCTGCTCTTCCTCGTTTCAGATTACTTATAGCCTTTTGAACTTCAAGTAGGGTCGGGGGGCCTACTTCAATATTCCATTCAGGTTTTCTGGGAATAGTGGGTAGTTGTGCAGTAGCTGAAGGTCAGCTAAACTGCTCCTTAAAGTGTTCCGCCCATCGTTCTAAACGTTTGGGTTGAGAGCAGATAAGGGTTCCGTCTTTTTCCGAGATTGTCTCACTTACACTTGACTTATTAATTCCGGTTTCTTTTATTAGTCTGAATAGTTGCCTGGTGTTGCCTACCATTGAAAACCTGGAAACACTGGATGACTGTAACATGGTGGTTGGAGGTGGTCAACAGGAAACCCTGGACCCGGGTTTCGTGCTACTTGGCACTCGTCAGCAAGGTGTACCTGTAATCTTGAGGGAACTGATGCTCCCTGGCGGATTCGATCCCTCGTCACTCAGCTTCACAGTCAGAGACGTTACCACTGAGCTATTCGGGCCGCGACCGACCTCCTGTAGGACTGAGATCTAATCACAATTGATTGATCACTGGGTGGTGATCAATCTCATGCGTGTCAGGTCCTTAGTGCTGATCGAATGCTATCGATCAAGTTGCAATGTGGCCACCAGTCTAGGTGGCTCGACACTGCGGGCACTATATATATTAGGGTAACATGGTGGTTGGAGGTGGTCAACAGGAAACCCTGGACCCGGGTTTCGTGCTACTTGGCACTCGTGACGAGGGATCGAATCCGCCAGGGAGCATCAGTTCCCTCAAGATTACAGGTACACCTTGCTGACGAGTGCCAAGTAGCACGAAACCCGGGTCCAGGGTTTCCTGTTGACCACCTCCAACCACCATGTTACCCTAATATATATAGTGCCCGCAGTGTCGAGCCACCTAGACTGGTGGCCACATTGCAACTTGATCGATAGCATTCGATCAGCACTAAGGACCTGACACGCATGAGATTGATCACCACCCAGTGATCAATCAATTGTGATTAGATCTCAGTCCTACAGGAGGTCGGTCGCGGCCCGAATAGCTCAGTGGTAACGTCTCTGACTGTGAAGCTGAGTGACGAGGGATCGAATCCGCCAGGGAGCATCAGTTCCCTCAAGATTACAGGTACACCTTGCTGACGAGTGCCAAGTAGCACGAAACCCGGGTCCAGGGTTTCCTGTTGACCACCTCCAACCACCATGTTACCCTAATATATATAGTGCCCGCAGTGTCGAGCCACCTAGACTGGTGGCCACATTGCAACTTGATCGATAGCATTCGATCAGCACTAAGGACCTGACACGCATGAGATTGATCACCACCCAGTGATCAATCAATTGTGACTGGATGACTGTTTTGATCTAGTATGTGACATTATATATGTACAACGTAAAAATCACTAAATAAAATAACAGGGTCAAAACTTCCTGGTATTTATGACGAAAACATGATTAAACTAGACATTAAGCTGAACGATAACATAATTTATGGGACTAGCAAATAAGTGATTAGAATTTGAGGCGATAATAACTTAATTTGTAACCAAACATTTTTAACGTCACCTAACCTGATATGTGTTTTGGAATGTTTGTACACAGGCTTTTTGTCGCCGATCCCACAGACGAATCGTCCCATCGTCCGAACCGGAACACACATGTTGAGGACCACGTCTGGCAACTGCACATGAATTAACAATGTTTTCATGACCTCTGAATTTTTTAATACGTTGTGCACTTTCAGTATCCCATAAGGCGATAGATTTATCTGAACTGGCAGTATATATAACCGAATCATCTGAAGAAAGCACTAAATCCAAAATAGCACCCCCATGACCTAAGAAAAGGTAGAAAAAAGATGGAAACTGGTTGAAATGTACTAGAACATATGATAGATGATAATATGATGTAAAGAGAAAGACACTATACATACTGATCAATCAATATTTTCTTGACAATTAAGTCGAAGTGACAAACAGATGAAAGTTATAAGGTTTATTTGGGAAGTATCTAATAAAATATGATTTTGTTTTTAAATAATTTCATATAATCAACATAAATAGTTCTTTCTCCAAAATCCCCTAATACGGTCGAGGGTAAGGAGAATCAGCTCTCCTTGGAATCCTCTTACATGACCACTTATATAAAGCCACTGACAGGAAAGTCCTAACGACTGCCTTCTCGCACTGGGAGTGTTATTTACGAAATTGAGACGACGAAAAGCGAATGTCCGACACTCAAACTAGATCGGTGGGTACGGAGGGTCCACGTAGGAGAGTTGGAAAACCCTGATCCCAATCCAATGGTGCACACAGGTTCCAGGATCCTGAAAGGACAAATGGAATATAAGCCTATTTCTAGTCACCGGCTACCATGGGACTGAATCCCCTAAAGTTGCGCCACCGCCTTGCGCAATAGATCTTTAGATCAAGGGCCCGGAGAGTGGCTTTCTGAGAAAACTATCTGCTTCGGTTTAAGCACCCGGACGCCACCTCAGTCCATACATTAATTCATTCATATGTGTTGCGCGTATATATTTTGGTGACCCTTCGTAGCAATTTTTGTGTTCGAATAATAATAATAATAATAATAAGAAGAAGAAGAAGAAGAAAAAGAAAAAGAAGAATAGTCTGATTCCTAAAACTTCGGGAATACTCATGTATAAACAATGATAGACATAAGGAGCTCTAATATTTGCCTTGACAATTACATCTCGCTGTCCCAATCGGGTGACGTAGGTTGAACCACTAAAACAAATGTCCCCGGTTCTACGTTGCATACGACTGACCAATTTTCAAATAATTGTATTACAATAACTTCTCACCAACAGGTTACGTGTCTAGCTAATTACTGTGAGTCTAGTGTCATGTAATCCTATATTTTAGTCAAATCCTTCAACTCAACTACTATATCAAACTCTTAAATATTGAACAAGTAAAAAAGTTAATGTGACAATAATTCAAGATTAAAATTAAGTAGCTCTGGGCTGCAACTCCGCCTGTAGCTCTTCTAGAGTTACTGCCGGTCCCAAGCCCGGGTAAAGGAGGAGGGTTGGGCATGGGGTTAGCGACCCCATCCCGTAGAAAAGCTAACTCGCTAAAAAAACGCTAACCAGAAAAAAATAATTCAAACCATTTAAACTCTGCCCTGGGAGTTGAAGGAATAATTATGACGTCTCATGATGAAAGCCGAAATTCTTCGGAAGTCACGAGACCAATGCACCTTCTAACAACCAGAGCAACACTCTTTATAGGTACATGGAACGTCCGGACAATGTGGGAGACAGGAAAAACCAGCCAAATAGCAATGGAAATGAGAAGATACAACTTGGCAGTACTCGGAATCAGCGAAACCCATTGGACACAAACTGGACAACAAAGGCTAGGTACAGGAGAGATGCTGCTGTACTCCGGTCACGAAGGGGAAAATGCTCCACACACTCAGGGAGTTGCTCTAATACTGTCCAAAGAAGCACGAAATGCACTTGTGGGATGGGAATCTCATGGACCCAGGATAATCAAAGCATCATTCAGAACAAAGAAGCCAGGGATCAAAATGAACATTATCCAATGTTATGCACCCACTAATGATAGCAACGACGATGATAAAGATCAGTTCTATGAAAGGCTGCAATCAATTATATAGAAGTGCTCACGAAAGGACCTCACAATCCTGATGGGAGATCTAAATGCTAAAATTGGGGTGGACAACACAGGATATGAAGATGTAATTGGACGACATGGATTAGGAGAGAGAAATGAAAATGGGGAGAGACTTGCAAACCTATGTGCATTCAACAAATTGGTTATAGGCGGCACAACATTCCCACACAAACGCATACACAAAGCTACATGGATCTCACCGGACCACACCACAGAGAACAAGATTGATCACATCTGTATCAACAAAAAATTCCGAAGATCAATGGAAGATGTGAGAACCCGGAGAGGAGCTGACATAGCTTCAGATCACCACCTGGTTGTGGCCAAGATGAGACTGAAGCTAAAGAAAGACTGGACAACTGGACAAACAGCACTACAAAGGTTCAATACAGCCTTCCTTCGAGATACTGACAAGCTCCATGAATTCAAGATAACTCTCAACAACAGGTTCCAAGCTCTACAGGATCTACTGAAAGAACAAGAAACTACTTTGGAGGACAACTGGAAAGGGATAAAAGAAGCACTAACTTCAACGTGTCAGCAGGTTCTTGGTCCTAAGAAGCATTATCACAAGGAATGGATCTCTATGGGAACCCTGGACAAAATTCAAGAAAGGAAGAACAAGAAACTAGCAATTAACAACAGCCGAACACGAGCAGAGAAAGTCAAAGCACAAGCAGACTACACAGAAGCAAACAGGGAAGTGAAGAAAAGCATTTAAGCCGACAAGCAGAAATACATGGGAGAACTAGCAACGACGACGGAAAAAGCTGCAAGAGAAGGGAATATGAAACAACTATATGATACAACGAAGAGATTGGCAGGGAGATATAGCAAACAAGAGAGACCAGTCAAAGACAAAGAAGGAAAGACAATCACTGAGATTCAAGAACAGAGGAAAAGATGGGCAGAATACTTCGAGGAACTGCTGAATAGACCAGCCCCATTGAATTCACCGAACATCGAAGCAGCCCACACTGACCTTCCAATAGATGTCACTCCACCAACGATCGAAGAAGTCAAGATGGCCATCAGACAAATCAAAAGTGGGAAGGCGGCAGGACCTGACAATATACCAGCAGAAGCACTGAAGTCAGACATTGAAATAACTGCAAATATGCTTCACCTTCTATTCAAGAAGATTTGGGAAGAGGAACAAGTGCCAACGGACTGGAAAGAAGGATATCTCATCAAGATACCAAAGAAAGGAGATCTGAGCAAATGTGAGAACTACAGAGGCATCAGTTTGTTATCAGTACCAGGAAAAGTTTTCAACAGAGTGCTGCTGAATCGGATGAAAGACGCAGTAAACGCTGAACTTAGGGATCATCAGGCTGGATTCCGTAAGGATCGGTCGTGCACAGACCAGATTGCGACACTACGGATCATCGTTGAACAATCAGTTGAGTGGAACTCATCACTATACGTCAACTTCATTGACTATGAGAAGGCGTTTGACAGCGTGGACAGGAGAACATTATGGAAACTTCTTCGACACTATGGAGTTCCTGAAAAGATTGTCAACATTATCCAAAACTCATACGATGGACTACAGTGCAAAGTGGTGCATGGAGGACAGCTGACAGATGCATTTCCAGTAAGGACCGGAGTCAGACAAGGCTGTCTACTCTCCCCATTCCTCTTCCTTCTAGTGATTGACTGGATTATGAAGAATTCGACATCTGAAGGGAAATACGGAATACAATGGACTTCTCAGAATCAATTAGATGATTTGGACTTCGCAGATGACCTAGCCCTCCTCTCTCATACACACGACCAAATGCAGATGAAGACAGCAAATGTAGCAGCAGCCTCCGCATCGATAGGCCTCCACATTCACAAAGGAAAAAGCAAGATTATCAAATGCAACACGGAGAACACCAACCCAATCACACTTGATGGCGAAACTCTGGAAGAGGTGGAAACATTCACGTACCTGGGGAGCATCGTTGATAAACAAGGGGGATCGGATGCAGATGTAAAGGCGAGGATTGGCAAAGCAAGGGCAGCATTTCTACAATTGAAGAACATATGGAACTCAAAACAACTCTCAACCAATTTCAAGGTCAGAATCTTTAACACGAACGTCAAGACAGTCCTACTGTACGGAGCTGAAACGTGGAGAACTACTACGACCATCATCAGGAAGGTACAAGTATTTATAAACAATTGTCTACGCAAAATACTCAACATCCACTGGCCGGATACTATCAGCAACAGCGTTTTATGGGAGAGGACAAATCAGCTTCCAGCTGAAGAGGAAATTAGGAAAAGACGTTGGAAGTGGATCGGACATACATTGAGGAAATCACCAATGTGCATCACGACTCAATCCCTAACTCGGAATCCGGAAGGGAAGCGGAAGAGAGGAAGGCCAAAGAACACACTACGCCGGGAAATAGAAGCCGATATGAAAAGGATGAATAGCAACTGCAAAGAACTGGAAAGGAAGGCTCAGGACAGAGTTGGATGGAGAATGCTGGTGAGCGGCCTATGCTCCTTGACGAGGGGTAACAGGCGTAAGTAAGTAAGTAAGCTCTGGGCTGCACGACCATTATTGGGGAGTTTATGCAACTTCCTAGTGTTCCGAATCTCTGTGAGAGAAGTGAGCTTCATGACTTACAGGTTAAAAATGGAGTAGTTACACAAATAAATTCTAGTTTCATGTTGTCCACAATGTGGCAAAATTTAATTATCCGTTATGGATATGCAATCCCCAAATACAACTTATGAGAATGCAAGCCATTTTCCATTAAGATTAACTTACTTTACACTAAATGACTCAGTGCGGATTCTGCTCATGAATTTTCAATACATTTTACTATGTTCTATGTTTACTAACAAATACTGATATATAATTGACTGACTTCAATGTATTTTCAACTATACTGAGGTCATCAACAAACCTTCCACTACTGAAAGTCTTAATACTCTAGTTAGAGGGTTAGGGAAAACAGTTGTCAAAATGGCAAAGTATTACCATAGTGAATGAATGATCATCCATAAGCCCCTTCAAGACTTTCTTACAATTTGAATTTACTTCTCAGGTAGTTCAGTAATGACTTTGTTTTAATACTTAATTGTTTCATATCTTCCAATATACATAAAACAAACTATTGCAACTGCTTTTAGAGTAAATGAACGAAAACGCAAATCTAGTCACCCTGATTGTTTTAAGAAATATAACAATCAGAACCAATCTCATGTACACTATAGAAACTCTGTTAAACAGGCCATCATAAACCAATACAGAGCCCGGTACGATTGTGTCGACCCGTTCCCGCACCATATCACCACCGAGAAAAATCGGAAAGTAGTCGAAAAAACAGTAGTATTAACTATTATGAGAAAGATCATACATTAGGGAATATGGTTTGAAGAGAAATGCTAGTGAGCTGGAGTAATAAAAAGTATCAAGTAATATTGAAGTGCTCGTCGTAAAAGTCGCAGGTCGCAAGTAAAAGTGATTTTCCCTGGTATATACAGATAAAAACCCATTAAGAGTAAAACATCAGTAAAGCTGTCCAACTTTTAACTTCATAACTATGGATTCAAGAAATGCTTTAAATACGGTGGTGTGAAAAGTAAGATTATTTAACCATTTTGAACGAATGTGATGTACAGATTAACGCACATACCTACATTAGGTTCAATCACTTTATATTCATCTTTATCAAAAAAATTTAACATACCCATCATCGTCGCAATATTTTCGCATTCACCATACGTTTCCCATAATAGAATTCGGCGATCAAATCCAGCGCTTGCGAGAAACGATCCATCAGAAGAAAATTTGCCACAATACACCTCACTTTCATGACCATTTAAAAGCATATTAGGTGACAGTAAATTTGATGTACGGGGAATGCTTCCCGCTTGTCCTGCTGGTATGATCTGCGAATTTAACTTGTACATCCCATTGCTAAATGGGGTGATTCCCAAGCTTGAACCATCTTTTCGAGGTTTCTTGCTAGGCAAAGGAACCATCGACATTGAGGTTACCCCAGCCAAAGGTCTTTTGAAGTCCATTTTGGCCCCTTATAAACCTGTAAAAAGTGTATTACGGAAGTAGTGTTGGATAAAAACGAAAATATCAAGAAGCAACCTGAATAACAACTTTTCCACAATATAACTGTGAAATGTGACACTATACAAACAATCTAATGTAACTCGTGGTAACTACTAGCATTAAAATGAATCAAATACAAAAACAAATGTTTAACCCTAATGTCTTGTTGGGGTTCACTCATAAACACAAGTATTTAAAATTTACCTCTAATAATGATATCTAACTTTTAAGACCCATTTAACCGACTTCCTTAGAAAGGGTAACACTTATCCGTCCACACGTATGGAAGCACTATATATTAAGAGAAACAGCACTTCTTAACCTTGTCAGTAGCTTAGTGGTCAAAGCCCTAAAATTATAACTATTAGATTACTAGCTCGAACTTAGGTCCGCTCCATTTGGTTTTAGGAGCCTAGTAATATCAACTCCTGAATGTATGGTGTGGCTCAAAACCAGATATATAAACGTGTACCTAGCATCCCAAACACCGAGTCACTTTACAGTTACCTTATGTTGGAATCATGAACCGATCTAGGTTGGACTATCATTGAAAACCTGGAAGTACTGGATGGTCGTTTCGTCCTGGTCTGGAATTCGTCAGCAGTGCACACCCGCGGTCCCACACGCAAGATTAGAACCAAGAGCCTTCTGTCTCGTGCGAACGCTTGAATTCTAAACTACTGAGTTGACATCCAATAGTATTGATGTCTAACTTCAATCAATCAACGATATTGCACGACTATCTTCCATTGCCTTCGATGGGTAACGGCATGAGACCGAAGGTCCTGGGGTTCGAATCCTGCATGTGGGACCGTGAATGAGTACTGCCGAGGATTCTCATGCTATGACGAGACGGCCATTCAGTGCTTCCTAGTTTGTGGTGGTGGTATAACGTGGATCGGTTCATAATTTTAACAAAGTCCAACAATATCCACAACCCCAAACCTAAAGTTAATTTTTTGATACAAGAAAAATTTTCGAATTTCAACCGATGAGTAATAAATTTAGATCCATTTTTCAATTTTAGTGTAAGTTGTTTCATCAGTTGTCGTTCGAAAATTGCACTCTTAAATACTTTGATTGAATATCCAACTTTCAACCATTCATTCAGCCTACTTCTGGTCATAAACAAACGTACGGCTTCGGATTTGGGTTGTTACATCTACAATTACAGAGAGAAAGAAGTCCTAAGATAAAAGGCGAGGGAGTGATAATGATGGCATCAACTAGTTTTCACAGAAGCTGATGAGATGAAAATATGAGGACTATCGAATGACATCAAGTTCAAAATTTAGAAGTAAACAATAAATTTACAGTAGCAACTCCAAGAAATGACATCTAAGATCTGCAACGAATGAACAAAATATTTTCATGGAACCTAAACTATAGAACTACGTAACAACTTGGTCTGTCAGCCCTTATCTATTTTCCGAAATACTCCTATTTTATCTACCAAAGCATATGGACAGTGAGTGGGGATAAATAACCCATGCGCTGACAGCGTAGACTGGCAAAAGTCCCAAGGCTCATCAACCGTAGCATGACTTATCCGACCACAATGTGGTCAAAACCTTGAGATACTTTATTCCCCGAGACCAAACCAAATACTGATGAAGGTAGATGCCGAAACAATATTTTGATTTTACACTCAGAAACATTCTTTAGTCGTTGCCTAAGGGATTCAGCAAGTTACAGTTTTCTAGTGTCCTTACCAAACAGAATTCTAAGTTAGTGATTAAATTTATAAATTATATTTTAATCCATAAGATGTTTGACGTTGCTATCGCTACAAATATATCTACGATGAAACTAAAGAAATTGGCTAAAAAATAATGAATAATTTAAATGACAGGTAAGCAAAAGCTTTGACAAAACCAGTAATGTTTTATTTTATCAGCTTGATATTGTTTATTTTCTCTTATGTTAATTTAAAGGCTGACAACCTACATTGATTCACTTCTATGAAGACCTCTACTTTATTGTCTATATATTACCAGAAAATTTTTTTAAGGAGTAAACGCTGATAACTCCGCCTGTAGCTCTTCTAGAGTTACTGCCGGTCCCAAGCCCGGGTAAAGGAGGAGGGTTGGGCATGGGGTTAGCGACCCCATCCCGTAGAAAAGCTAACTCGCTAAAAAAACGCTAACCAGAAAAAAATAATTCAAACCATTTAAACTCTGCCCTGGGAGTTGAAGGAATAATTATGACGTCTCATGATGAAAGCCGAAATTCTTCGGAAGTCACGAGACCAATGCACCTTCTAACAACCAGAGCAACACTCTTTATAGGTACATGGAACGTCCGGACAATGTGGGAGACAGGAAAAACCAGCCAAATAGCAATGGAAATGAGAAGATACAACTTGGCAGTACTCGGAATCAGCGAAACCCATTGGACACAAACTGGACAACAAAGGCTAGGTACAGGAGAGATGCTGCTGTACTCCGGTCACGAAGGGGAAAATGCTCCACACACTCAGGGAGTTGCTCTAATACTGTCCAAAGAAGCACGAAATGCACTTGTGGGATGGGAATCTCATGGACCCAGGATAATCAAAGCATCATTCAGAACAAAGAAGCCAGGGATCAAAATGAACATTATCCAATGTTATGCACCCACTAATGATAGCAACGACGATGATAAAGATCAGTTCTATGAAAGGCTGCAATCAATTATATAGAAGTGCTCACGAAAGGACCTCACAATCCTGATGGGAGATCTAAATGCTAAAGTTGGAGTGGACAACACAGGATATGAAGATGTAATTGGATGACATGGATTAGGAGAGAGAAATGAAAATGGGGAGAGACTTGCAAACCTATGCGCATTCAACAAATTGGTTATAGGCGGCACAACATTCCCACACAAACGCATACACAAAGCTACATGGATCTCACCGGACCACACCACAGAGAACAAGATTGATCACATCTGTATCAACAAAAAATTCCGAAGATCAATGGAAGATGTGAGAACCCGGAGAGGAGCTGACATAGCTTCAGATCACCACCTGGTTGTGGCCAAGATGAGACTGAAGCTAAAGAAAGACTGGACAACTGGACAAACAGCACTACAAAGGTTCAATACAGCCTTCCTTCGAGATACTGACAAGCTCCATGAATTCAAGATAACTCTCAACAACAGGTTCCAAGCTCTACAGGATCTACTGAAAGAACAAGAAACTACTTTGGAGGACAACTGGAAAGGGATAAAAGAAGCACTAACTTCAACGTGTCAGCAGGTTCTTGGTCCTAAGAAGCATTATCACAAGGAATGGATCTCTATGGGAACCCTGGACAAAATTCAAGAAAGGAAGAACAAGAAACTAGCAATTAACAACAGCCGAACACGAGCAGAGAAAGTCAAAGCACAAGCAGACTACACAGAAGCAAACAGGGAAGTGAAGAAAAGCATTTAAGCCGACAAGCAGAAATACATGGGAGAACTAGCAACGACGACGGAAAAAGCTGCAAGAGAAGGGAATATGAAACAACTATATGATACAACGAAGAGATTGGCAGGGAGATATAGCAAACAAGAGAGACCAGTCAAAGACAAAGAAGGAAAGACAATCACTGAGATTCAAGAACAGAGGAAAAGATGGGCAGAATACTTCGAGGAACTGCTGAATAGACCAGCCCCATTGAATTCACCGAACATCGAAGCAGCCCACACTGACCTTCCAATAGATGTCACTCCACCAACGATCGAAGAAGTCAAGATGGCCATCAGACAAATCAAAAGTGGGAAGGCGGCAGGACCTGACAATATACCAGCAGAAGCACTGAAGTCAGACATTGAAATAACTGCAAATATGCTTCACCTTCTATTCAAGAAGATTTGGGAAGAGGAACAAGTGCCAACGGACTGGAAAGAAGGATATCTCATCAAGATACCAAAGAAAGGAGATCTGAGCAAATGTGAGAACTACAGAGGCATCAGTTTGTTATCAGTACCAGGAAAAGTTTTCAACAGAGTGCTGCTGAATCGGATGAAAGACGCAGTAAACGCTGAACTTAGGGATCATCAGGCTGGATTCCGTAAGGATCGGTCGTGCACAGACCAGATTGCGACACTACGGATCATCGTTGAACAATCAGTTGAGTGGAACTCATCACTATACGTCAACTTCATTGACTATGAGAAGGCGTTTGACAGCGTGGACAGGAGAACATTATGGAAACTTCTTCGACACTATGGAGTTCCTGAAAAGATTGTCAACATTATCCAAAACTCATACGATGGACTACAGTGCAAAGTGGTGCATGGAGGACAGCTGACAGATGCATTTCCAGTAAGGACCGGAGTCAGACAAGGCTGTCTACTCTCCCCATTCCTCTTCCTTCTAGTGATTGACTGGATTATGAAGAATTCGACATCTGAAGGGAAATACGGAATACAATGGACTTCTCAGAATCAATTAGATGATTTGGACTTCGCAGATGACCTAGCCCTCCTCTCTCATACACACGACCAAATGCAGATGAAGACAGCAAATGTAGCAGCAGCCTCCGCATCGATAGGCCTCCACATTCACAAAGGAAAAAGCAAGATTATCAAATGCAACACGGAGAACACCAACCCAATCACACTTGATGGCGAAACTCTGGAAGAGGTGGAAACATTCACGTACCTGGGGAGCATCGTTGATAAACAAGGGGGATCGGATGCAGATGTAAAGGCGAGGATTGGCAAAGCAAGGGCAGCATTTCTACAATTGAAGAACATATGGAACTCAAAACAACTCTCAACCAATTTCAAGGTCAGAATCTTTAACACGAACGTCAAGACAGTCCTACTGTACGGAGCTGAAACGTGGAGAACTACTACGACCATCATCAGGAAGGTACAAGTATTTATAAACAATTGTCTACGCAAAATACTCAACATCCACTGGCCGGATACTATCAGCAACAGCGTTTTATGGGAGAGGACAAATCAGCTTCCAGCTGAAGAGGAAATTAGGAAAAGACGTTG